ACAGAGATTCATGTGGGTAGAGGGTGTTTAACTCTTCTGCCTCTGCTTGCGTTTATCTTTTCTGTTTTTCTACCCTTGATTTCTCTCCATACAGTTAAAAAGAATCACTTATTCATCTATTGCCCGAGTCAGTGCTATTTATGAGAAGGTTTTTCCTTGATAAAATATGGGTTATAAAAATAGCAAAAAAATTACCATCTTAGTGAGGTAGTTCAGAAGTAACTATTTAATATTATTGACATGCTAATTACAGCTCATCATTTTTGTGATTATCAATCAAGCCCTGGGAAGACCTGTCATCTTAGCAGTTCATTGAGTTTAGTTTGATTGCTCTATGTGCTAGAAAGTTCTAGGAAGCATTATGTTATCCTTCTTTTACTCTTTAAAATAAAAAAAAAAGTTCTAAGAAACTATTTCTTTTAAAAATATTTCATTCAGAATATCCCTAACCTGACTTTAAATTTATAAGACAGAATTAATAAAGTATGATTGTACTTTTCCAAAAGTAATTTTAGAACCTTTCTACATTGAATTTTAAAAATATATCTTTGAGTTTGTTAATTACTCCATAGGGTAATTATTTGATTTTTAAAATTGTAGATTTTTAAATTATAAATGTAAAACATACATTACATGGCATATGCCATTTTAAAGAATACAGTTTAGTAACTCTGTACATTCACGTTGTGTGGCTATCACCACATGTATCTCTCAGACTTTCCCATCATCCTGAAATGAAACAGTATGCTCATTTAATAACAGCATCCTATTTCCACCAACTCCCCAGTTCTTGGCAGCCGCCACTCTATTGTCTATGAATTTGATTGTTCTAGGGTTCATCCGTCCTTCCTTCCTTCCTTTCATTTATTTTTAAGATATGTAATTCAGATTAGCCTTGAACTCACTCTGTAGCCCAGGCTGGCCCCAAACTGGTGGTGATTCTTCTGCCTCAGCCTCGCAAGTGTTGGGATTACAAGTGTGTGCTACCACGCCCAGGTTCTAGGGTGCCTTATGTAAATGAACTATACAATATTTGTCCTTTTGTGCTGGCTTATTTCACATTAACACAGTAACTTCAAGATTCATCTATATTGTAGCATGTAACAGTTTCCTTCCCAAGGCAGAATTGTATTCCATTGTATGTGTGTACCACATCTTGTTTATCCATTCATCTGTCAATGAACATTTTGATTGTTTCCATGTTCTGGCTGTTGTGAATAATGCTGCTGTGATCGTTGGTATACAACTATCTGTGTAAGTCCCTGTTTTTCATTCTTTTGGGTATCTATTAGGAATGGAATTGCCTTTGTGATGGTTAAGGTAGAATGTCAGCTTGACTGGGTTTGGAATCTGCTCCTGGGATCAGTTAGAGCACGCTTCCGGGTGTGTCTGGGTGGGTCGTGAAGGTGTGACCCTGGGGTCTATACCTGGTTCCTCACTCCCTCTCTGCTGCTGCTCAGCTGGTCAGCTTCTCAGCCACCATAAACTGTGGCCCTTTGCTTTGCCGTGCCTTCCACCATGATGGCCTTGGAGCCAGCCAAACATGTACTCAGTCCCCTGGAAGCATGAGCTAAGTCAGCTCTTCTTTAAGTTGTGGGGTTTTGGGTATTGTGTCCCAGCAATGGAAAAGCTGACGAATAAGGCTAGTACCATGGTACCTGTAACATTTTATATTCCCATCTTCTATGTTTGTAGCTCATTTTACAGATTTTGCCAGATATTCGACCACTCTAGGTTGTGAATCTATAGAAAGAATATATTTTTAAAAATTTAACAGCTCAGGAAGCAAAACATAATACAAATAATAAAAATTTCATTTCATTTACAATATTTTTTTTTTGTGGTACTGAGGATTGAACCCAGAACTTTACAGATAGCATTGAGCTATCTCCTCAGTCCTAGACAGGATCTTGCTAAGTCACTAATTTGCCTGGGCTGAGTTTGAGCTTGTGATCCTTGTGCCTCAGCTTCCCAGAGTGTCTCAGCTTCCCAGGCATAGGATACCATGTCCAGCTCAAGTATTTATTTTTACTGATCATATAATATTCTAAAAATTTGGGAGTATATTTTCAAAATGTAAAGAAAGAAAATGTCATCTGTAATCTTTTCAGAGGTATGTTTTGGCCTATTTTTCCTACATTTTAAAAATTATAGTTACACATTGTCTGTTATTTTATAATGTAGCTGGTACAGCTACATCTTCCAGAATACATTTTTGTTGGATTTTGTTTGTTTCTGAACTTGGGGATGAGCACATGGTTTAGTTGTATTGTACTTTTTGTTGGCATCTTTCCCTGGGATGCTTCTGTGGCAGTGGCTACCATTTAGAGCGTGACTAGTACCACAAGAAGGGAAAGCATTGGGTTACCTTTCTTAGGATACTAGTTAAGCACTGCTGAATGCCTACCAAGATGTATGCCTATCCAGGAAGGTTGAGTTGAGCAGGTCAGGTAAAGATTCTTGCTTATTAGCAGTGCCCCCTTAATTCTTCAAGTGAATCATTCACATCTTACTATTTGAAGCATCTGAAATACTCTGCAACTTTTGGTATGGCGATTTAAGTGATGAAGCTGAGCATGGTGGCGCAGGCCTATAATCCTAGCACTTGGGACGCAGAGGCAGGAGGATTGTGAGTTTGAGCCCAGTTTGGGCTATGTAGTGAGTTTGATGCCAGCCTGAACTGCATAGTGAGACCCTGCCTTAAAAAAAAAAAAAAGGACAAACTGTATAGTCCTTTAAGATGAAATTTAGACAGAGCAAATATATTAATACTTCTCTTTTAAGTTTAGGCAAATTTAATGGATGTCAAAATATCACTGTCCTAATACTATTTTTCTTAACCTTGTATTTTTAAGTCGTTGTTCGGCACACAGTTCTTAAGCCCAATGTAGATATTATAAGAGATCAAATCCTAGTTAACTTTTAATGATTCCACCTGGCTTAGCTTATTGACATGGCAGTATACACTTTATAATTCTTCAGATTGATAGAATCATGATATTTAGTATGACCTTTGTTAGTTTTGCAGTACTGGAGATGAGTCCAAGTGCTTCACTCTGAGCTACATCCCTGTTATGGCTTGTGTTAGATGTCCCCTCAAAGCCTCATGCGGTTATAGGTGGGGCTTTTTCAGAGGTGGCTGGATCTAGAGTATGTGACGGTGGAATTGATGGATGGTGCAATGCTAGGATCAAGGGCGCTAGGGTTATGGGTGTGGGCTATCCATCCTGAGTAACCTGAATAAGATACAAGAGATGGAAAGAACTGTGGTCAGCCCTTGCTTGCCTGCTTTGCTACCTTCTGCCCACCATGAACTCTCTCTACAGTGCCTTTTGTCCTGTGCCACCCTTCCTTGGCGCCAGCTAATTATGGACTGAAACCTCTACAAACGGAGCTAAATAAACCTTTCTCCCTTGAACTGTGGATGTTGGGTGTTTCGTCTCAGTGAGACAACAGTAACTAGGACAATTCCACCTCTTTTGGATTTACGATCTTGATAATTTGCTGAGTTGCCCAGAAGGGGGTTGAATTTCCTATCTTACCTTAGAATTCCCAGAGTGCTGAGATTACAGGTGTGTGTCACCATACCTGGCTAGCACATTTTTGAAAAAAATACTAGCAGAAGTGCCTCTGCCTCTGGGAAAATATAGTAATTATTAAACACCTCAACACTATAATCAAATCGTACCAAGGACACTGGTAATTTTGAATTACTCAGCGTGTTGTGGTGGTGTACATTATGCTGTGTTGCCTTAAGGTGGAAATACTGCACAACCCATTTAAGGACCCTGTCTTTTTCTGTATGGCACAGAGTGTTCCCTGGATTTTTGGTTTTTCTTTTTGGAGGACTAGAGACCGAACCCAGGGCCTCATGCATGCTGAGCAAGTGCTCTACCACTGAGTTGCATCCCCAGCCCTACAGTGATTGCTTTTGAGGAGATGGTCAGAGATGGTAGGAGAACTTGCTTTCCTGTATTCTTTTGTACCATTTGGAAGAGTGTTTTATATCATGGTGTTATGGCTTGTGTCTAGATGTCCTGGCAAAGCCTCATTTGGTCGTGGGTGGGGCTTTTTCAGAAGTGGCTGGGTCTAGAGTGTGAGACTGTGGAATTGATTTATGGTGCAGTGCTAGGCTTAAGGCACTAGGATTAGGGTGTGAGTGTTGCCTGCCTTAAGTAGCTTGATAAGATAAAAGGGGCAGAAAAATCCTGTTATGGTTCGCCATGAACTGTTGCCTTTCTGATGTGCCACCCTTCCTTGGGGCCAGCTCGTTATGGACTGAAACTTCTACACACTGTGAGCTACGTAAACCTTCCCCCTTTAACTTTGGGTTTCGTGTATTTTGTCTCAGCAATAAGAGAAAAGTAAGACACATGGTTATGCATTTTTGCTCTTAAGTCCTTTGCCTGTCCCCACAAACAGTGTTTGGGAACATGGATACATACTCATTTATGCACACTTGTCAGAATACTCAAATGTTGTTCAAGTAATCTGGCTGTGCAGTGTGGCAGGGAATAGTATATTTTGATATGCTTAAGCCTCTGGATATGTGGTGTGATGCTTTTTGCTCACTCTCATCCTAGTTGGTGCTGATGGGAAACAATCTCTGGGACGGTGGGAAATGAGGTGTTGACTAAGCACATGCAAGGTACTCTACATGCGTCAAGGGAGGTGTGGGAGCCAGAAGAAGCTTGGTGCTGAGCCTGTCTCTCTGGGCTATTTTTAGACATCTAAGAGGGTGAGGAGGAAGGAACTTTAAAAAGTTCTGGTCTTCATCAGGAAACCCTATTTTTACTCTATTTCAGTTTCCAGTAGTAAGAGCCGGAATGGAAGTTCACTTGCCATCATATGATTCGGTACTATGCAGACCATTGGAATGTCTAGACATTCTTTTTAACCTTACAAAAAGTGGAACCCTGACCAGGATTCTTTATACAAAACCCTGTAAACGGATGAAGTTTAGATTTTTTGTGGAAGCTTACACATCTCTCTACTTGCAGGGTGTCATTTGAGCTAACTGCACCTTGTATGAAGAATACAGTATAGTCATCAATTCACCACCAAGATTGAGGTGAACTGGCTTATCTTTCTTCATATGACAAATTTTGTGAATGTGAAATGAAATGTGATCAGGGAAATTAGAAACAATATAATATTTTCTTTTATGATTTCATCCAATAAATCTTAAGTAAATGCTTAAGATTTTAAGCAGTGAATGCTGCTTAAAATTTTGCCCACCCTGGGCTGTCTAGGGAATGTCACCTTGCCGTCAGTAAATAGTAGCTTCACATGGCAGTGATTTTCTACAAAGGATAGGGTATTTGGGGTATCCTGGGGGTGGAAGTGACACAGTGGAAAGGTAAAGAGAATGCTTCTGCATTTTAGTATAAAGATACAAACACATTCCTAATTGAGAATTATTTTGGACAAATTAATAACTTAATTTGAATAGTTGAGGGAAACACCCATGAGGAGAGACCCTGGTTATATCCAGGTTGCATTTCTTTGGTATCTGCCATCTAGTTGTATAAAACACATGTGGAACAGATAAATCTGACTAGTAAGTGGGCAGGACAGATAAATGCCTGGTTCTGTTATACTGTGCTCTTGTTACAGGAAAAGGCTCAGGCTTGAAAGTAGAGAAGGATTGCTACAGAAAGTGCGTAATCTGCTAAACCAAAGGTAAGTCATTCGTTCTGGAATGAGCTTTTTATTGAGAGGCCTTTCTTTTAAATTTGCTTAATAGTTATTTAATTTTTTATTGGGATCGTTTTTGTCTGTTCCAGCAGAGATGTCAGCTTATTTATAGGAATTGCTGCAAGGCAGAGTCATGGTGGATGTAGGCAAGTGGCCAATCTTTACTCTGCTCTCACCTCAAGAAATCGCATCTATTCGGAAAGCGTGCGTCTTCGGCACCTCAGCCAATGAAGCACTTTATGTCACTGACAATGATGAAGTAAGACTGCAAACTGGGATTTAGTTTGCGGCTTCTTTTGGGGTTGGACTTCAGATCATGCAGTTTGAAGACAGAGAAAAGGTGCAGGATAAAGAGAACCTGAAACTCAGGAAGATTGTACCTTTGACAAAATTTCTCTCTTCTTGATTTGATACTCCTCTGCCCATAATGTAGACAAATAGTGTACAACTTAAGTAACCTCAGCAGAGTTTGAATTTTTCTAAGCAAGCATATCAGTCTCTTCTTACCTGCTGAGCTATCAAATTGAGTTTGAATGTGCCTTAGAGAGAAAGGGAGGTGGATTTTATGTTTGTTTACTTCTTTAATTTTTGGTAGGGGGATTGAACCCAGGGCCTTTGCACTGAGCTACATCCCCAACCCTTCTTAAAATTTTTATTTTGAGATAGGGTCTTACTAAGTCACTAAGTTCTTGGGACTGGACTTGAAATTGTGGCCTTCTGTCATTAGCCTCCCAGAGTGCTGGGATTTCAGGCGTGCACCACGGTGCCTGGCTGAGAAAGGAGCTTTTAATATAACTTCAGGCCAGATAACTCAGACAAACTGTTTGTTTTCTAGGTCTTTGTGTTTGGACTGAATTATAGCAACTGCCTAGGAACTGGAGATAACCAGAGTACACTCGTACCCAAGAAACTAGAAGCCTTATGTGGAAAGAAGATTAAAAGCCTTAGCTATGGAAGCGGCCCCCATGTTCTTCTCAGCACTGAAGGTAAAGAGGAAACAAATCTAGTTTTTCAGTTTGTTGAAAATCAATTGAATCTAAGCCAAAGGGGAGGTAGGGCTACATTCAGTAATTAATTTTGGATTGTTTCTTAATTTCTGAGGGAAGCACAGAACCAGGTAAAAATTAAATACTTCATGCCAACTCTGGAATAGCCATGAGATGTCTTGCACATTGGGCAAACTTCTTCAGTTTCAGACTCCTTATGTAAAGTTGCGGAAAATTGCATGTGGCAGAGAAAGTGGTCTTGCCGAGTGTGGTAGCGCACGCCTGTAATCCCAGTACTGGGGAGGCTGAGGCAGGAGGATCATTGCAAGTTCGAGACCAGCCTGGGCTACAAAGTGAGCTCAAGGTCAGCCTGAATTTCATAGTGAGACCCTGTCTCATAAAGACAAAAAAAAAAAAAAGAAAGTGATCTTTCTAGCCTGATTTTTCAATAAATTTATGACTGCAAGACAATTGGGAGGATTTTCTTGATGCATCTTTATAAACACAGATAATACTGGTTTGCATTCTCTCTCTCTCTCTCTCTCCTGAAACTTTGAGAAATCCTACTTTATTCCTAGGCATTCGTATGAGTGTCCTACTGAAAGAATAGGGCTGCAGGCAGGTAGAGGGTAGATTCTTGTCCTGTCTTCTCTGCCTTCTGAAGATCACTAAAGGAGGAGAGTAGACCTTCTTGTGGTAATTTATCTATGCTGTGGGCAACCAAACATCTCGAAAAACTTGTTCCATATTACCTAAGTTTTTGCTGCTGTGTTTTAGGGCCATTACCTACTCTTACACAGAGGACCTCAGTTTATATCCCTTCTGCTCTGTGTAACCATCTTTCTGCATCACTCTGCCCTTTTCAAATAAATACTGCCTTATAAACTAGTTCAGCTGTCATCCAGTGTGACCTAAGGATGTAAGGTTTTCTGAATACACACTGATTTTAACTCATCCTTATGTATTGAGACACATTTTCGTAGAACACGCATACTAAAGCATATACTACATTCAAGTCCTTGGTTTTTTCAAAATGGTGACCTTAGGAGAATATGATTTACTTTTGGAATTATCTTCAGACTCTAGATCCTACTATTTTAATTATCTTAAGTGTTACCTTTGTAATAGAAAAAATTGTGGAGATATTTTTTCTTTTTGTGTTTAATTCAGTTTTGACTTTCATAATATATTTTACACAGCACACATTAAATATGCTGTATGTTGTGTGCCTAATGTATGCATACCATATATTTACGTGTTTTATGTATATGATATTCAGTCAATCGAATAGTTTTAAAAATAGCTTAACACTTTAAACCATCAAATGATACTTACCGGCTTTTTAGTGAAAGTCAGAAGTGCTCTAGCCCCAGCCCTCCTCTCTCCTAGTAATTATTCTTTAAAAGGAACCTTTTTTTTGAGACAGGGTTTTGACATGTGGTTCAGGGTGGCCTTGAACTCACTGTGTAGCCCAGGCTGGCCTCGAGCTTGTGGCAATCCTCCTGCTTCAAGCCTCCCTCAAGTGCAGGGGTTGCAGGCGTGCGCCACCGTGCCTGGCTCGGTTCCTATATTTCTGCGTTTTAATGGCATCCTGCTTGGATTACACCCTCATTTGGGTGAAGCGAATCCTTTAGTAGCTTCCCAGGGAAGGGATGTGAGAATAATCCTCGAGACTGTCTTAAATGTCTTTATTCTTCCCTTGCCAATGTCTGTCCGTGTTTGGCTGGAATTATAGGATGGGAATCCCGTTTCCTCAGAACCTTGAAATCTTGGCACCTTTCTAGTTTCAAAGTTGCTGTTAAGAGTCTGTGGCTTTTCTTGAGTTTTCCTGTTTTATGTATGGCTGTTTTTTCCCTCTTTGGAAGCATTAGAATTTTTTTCATTTTTCTAAGTGTTGTGAAGTAATCATGATTATGCTCTGGTGTAGGTAATTTATAATTTGTTAGTCACTCTGTAAACCCTTCAGTCTGGACATTCCTTCATTTCTAGAAATTTTTTCATGTAGCATTGTATGGATGATTTTACATGTTTTCTGTGTTCTCTTTTTGGGATTTTTATTAGAAGAAAGTTAGAGATTCTAGCCTGAGTTTCCTAATTTTTCTTGTATTTTCTTTCCTGTCTATGTTCTGGGAGATTTCCTCAACTTGGTCTTAAAATGCTCATATCAAATTTTAACATTTCTGATGTTATATTTCCAAGTGCTCTTTCTTCTCTAGATGATCCTTTTAGAGCTCCCTATAGAGTTTCATGAATTCAGTATGTTTTCTTTGAGGCTATTGATAATTATAGATTATTCTGTATTTTTAAAGGAGAAAAAATTTATTTTGGCTCACAATTTGTAGATGTTTCAGACGATTGTCTCAGCTGGCTCCATGGCAGGGCATCGTGGCAGAGGAGAAATGGCTCGTGGCAGAGCTGCAGGACGCAGAAGGAGAGATCAAGGGAGGTGGAAGGGAGGTATAGGCTTCCAGCCCACGTCCCCAGTGACCCACACCTCAGACCAGGATTTAGCTCCCAACAGCACATTTAGCTATAAGCTCATCAGTAGACTAGGCATCAATAAAGTATCACACCCTCATGATCAGTCACCCCCAAAAGCCCCACCTATGAGCACATGAGGCTTTGGGGAACATCTAGATATAAACTGAAACGTTTTGTTCCATGTTTCTCTTTATGCAATTGTATTTATTCCATCTCTCTCTCTCTTTTTTTTTTTTTTTTTTTTTTGTGTGTGTGTGTGTCTTTTGGAGACAGGGTCTCACTGTGCAGTTCAGGCTGGCCTTGAGCTCACTTTGTAACCCAGGCTGGGTGTGAACTCTCAACGATGCTCCTGCCTCACCCTCCCCAGTGCTGGGATTACAGGCGTGCGCCACCACGCCCGGCTTAGTCCATCTCTTAAGAGTTGCCAAAGTCCTATCAGGTTCAGCATTGCTTAAAAGTCCAAGTCCAAAGTCTCCTCTGAGATTTAAGTAAGGCAAACTCTTTGCTGTGAACCCTTATAAAAAATGGTGAATGCCTGTAAGCCCAGCACTGGGAGGCTGAGGCAAGAGGATCACCATGAGTTTGAGGCCAGCCTCTACTACATAGTGCGTTTAAGGCCAGTCTGAACCACATAGTGAGACCTTGTCTCAAAAAAAAAAAAGTTCCCTTCCAACATACAATGGCATAGGATAAACATTCATATTCCAAAAGAGAGAAATAGGGGTATAGAAAGGAATGAGACCAAAGCAAGTTCAAAACTCAGCAGGGAAACACTAGATCCTGTAGTTCCATGTTTAGCACCCTGGGCAAGTTGTGGTGAGATGTGAAGTCCGAAGGCCCCGGGTAGCCCCTGGTTGTAGCAGCCCTTGTGGCCTCTGTCTTGGACTGGCTTTTCTCACTTGCAGTTTTCTTCACATGGCCCACTTTGCTGGCTTTTCCAACATCTTGGGATCTCCACTGTGCTTTTGGCTTCACTCAGCTTCATGCACTGCCCTCACAGGGGCATATTGTCGCCTTCCAGGCCTTCTAAAATCTGCGTGGAAGCCTCCCTGACTCCATAACCCTTGAATTCTGACTATGTGTAAAACTAATACCATGTGGATGATGCCAAAATCTGCTGCCCGCGGTAGCCATAGCCAAGGCCTTTTGCATCTTGCTGGTGGTTGCCAAGGCTTCTGAGTGCCTGGATGCTGAGCACTGTGAACTGAGACGTGGAGAAAAAGTTCTCTAGGTCATAGGCTGTTATTTAGACCTGTGATGGCAAACCTTTTAGAGCTTTCAATGGAAACAAACAGCCAGCTGTGGCACACTACCACAGGTTCGCCACCACCAATCAAGACCATTTTCTAGGGGCTGGGGATTTAGTTCAGCGGCAAAAAGCGCCTGCCTGGCAAGCGCAAGGTCGTGAGTTCGGTTCCCGGTACCGGAGAAAAACCAAAAAAAAAAAGACCATTTTCTAGGTAATAAACTTATTACCCAGTATATAATATATCCTACCCTGGTGTTCTCTTCCCAAAGCAAAGTCTTTCGTTTTTGCAATTTTGAGCCTGCAAGGGTGGTGGCAGTGGGGGCTGCTGCTGCTCTTTTTTTTTTTTTGGGTGTTCGGGAACAGGATCTTGCTCTAAAGTATTGTGTACCACCACGCCCTGTGGCTTCTTTTTAATGCTAATCTTTTCAGCTACAAAGCTCTCTTTCTGCTCCAACTTTTCAGGCCCCAAATTTACTAGAACTTCCTTTTTGGACATGTAATTTCTTTAATAACACTGGTTGGGGTGGGGCACAATAAGGTTCTGGGAAAAACTGGGGAAGTTCCCCATCTGTGGTCAGGCAGCAGTTTTTTCAACCATAGAGGAGAGTTTTATCTGGTAGTTCCTTAGGCACAACAATACTTGGATTTGTATTTAGCAGCTGATGGCTTAGATGTTGGTATAAACATTTATTAGTATTTACTTATTTTCTTACCTTAATTATTTTAGATGACTAAAGCGTAAGTATAGTTCAGAGTTAAGCCATACATCAAGCCACATACCAAGCAAAGACTCTTGAAGTTATTCTACACAGAAAACAATGGACATTGTATACATAAAACCAAAATTTTAAGTATCTTGATCGGCTAACATCCTAGATGAAAACGTGTCACCAACTTTAAGAATATCTTTACTGTTTTTCAGTATCTGGAATTATTTTTTAACTTCGTATTAGTACATAGTTGTTGTACATATTGATCACATTCATCATAGGGAATTTGTAGCTGTACATAATATCTCTTAAGTCTTCTTTTTTCCCATTCCCCTCCCCTCATTCCAGCCCTTCTTCCCTTCCCATTTACAAAAGCTTTGTTTCCATTTTTCCTTCCATTCTCCTTTGTTTCCTCCTTTCCCCCCTCCCCCCCCCCACTCCCTTGTTCTCCTTCCCCTTTGAACACGTTCTTCCTACTTCCCAACATCTAGCTTCCCTCACGTTCCTTGTTTACCCTGTGGGTTCCATACACAAGAGGAAGAGTGCAATGCTTAAACCTG